GGGCTGTTACCTCTTTCCCTCTTTGCTGTTCACTGTTACAGAGGAATGTCCCAAACAAGCAGCTGTACAAGTGGTCCAAAATAGTGATGAGGAAACACTCATTGAATTCAAATGCGGTAGGAAACTGGAAATTAAACACCACAAATTAAACATTTTTTCAAGCGTATTTATCTTTGTCATGGATAGATGCTTTGTAATAGTAATTAAAATTCAGTAATAGCCAGGGGCACAGTGACTCATCCCTTAAGCCCAAGAGTTTGAGGTTGCTGTGAGCTATGACCCCAGACACTATTCCCAGGGTGGAAGAGGAAGACTGTCTCAAAACAAATATCATGCCGTAATCGGTAGCACTCTAGGATGCAGAGGCAGGTGGATTGCCTGAGCTCACAAGTTCAAGACCAACCTGAGCCAGAGTGAGACCCCAATCTCTAAAAATAGCCAGGCATGGTGGCAGGTTCCTATAGTCCCAGCTACTTGGGAGGCTGAGGTAAGAGGATCGCTTGAGCCCAAGAGTTTGAGGTTGCTGTGAGCTATGACACTACAGCACTCTACTGAGGGCAAAAAAGTGAGACTCTGTCTCAAAAAAAAAAAAAAAAAAAAGAACTTAGTAAATATACAAAATTACATGATGCCAAGCCATTTTGGCATTATCTGTATGATTTTCTTGTCAAAAGTCACCTTGTCACTTTTCTGAGGTAGTTTCTCCCAGAATCTCCTCTCTTTCTTCAGTTTAATCATCCTATCCATCTAATATTTAGCATTATTTGGAAGCTTCTGGGTCAACTATACCAATTATGGGGTATGTGTGAAAGGAATTCTATGAATATTTGGATTATAGATTGGGAAAATACGGATCCTTACCTTTATAGTGAAAGGAAATTATATAAACTGCATACAAAAGGAAGAGTTGAAAACAGCTCTGCCTTGAAGTTTCCTAAACATTAGGCAAGGTACGTGGCAGACTTCTCAGAGAAGACTGATAATCATTAGGAGGCCTGGAATAATTTTTATAGCTGTGAAGCTGAATAAAGCAGGTGATCGATCATTGCCAACAACACAAAAATAAACTGTCAGAAATTTTGTCAAATCTTAGTCATTCAATAAGAAAAAAATCTTATCTCCTGTATTTGTTCATGTTGTTAATAGCCTTATTATTAGCCAAATAAGAGTGCGTCCTAAATCATTAAATAGCAATTCCAAGGATGTAAACCTGAGATCAGTTTCTCATTTTTTGGCAAAACTACTAAGCTCGGTTATTAGAATGCAGCGCCATCAATAGGCATTTCCTCACAACACATCTAAAACAGCAAAGCATTAAGTGCAGTTATTGCTTTTAAAATTCTAAGAGTAGTAGTTTTGTCTTTCTGTGTTTATAATCTGAACAGTCCTGCTTCCTGATTCCAGGGTTGAGGGATGGAGATGAGGATGTCTTTGTACTAGTATTCAACTATATAATTATAAAACTGATAATTGCTAACAAGTATGAATAGCTTACATGCTTCAAGTTCAGGAAGAAATTATACAGAAAAACATTAAAGGCCTAAAAATAGTATTTAATGTTCTATCAAACATTTACATTGATTTTATTTACTAACAGTTTTAGAACTAAGGTTAAAATGCTTTTAGATATACAGCATATAGAGTTAATAATACTACTAAGGATTAAATGTATATAATACTCTTTTTCCCATCGAAACACTAGCAAGGCCCAACCTTGCTTAGCTTTGATGAAATCAGGCACATCAGAGTGGTATGTCCATAGAACATGGTACTCTCCCTTGCAAGAGTGGAAAATGGGATTGTGATTTTTTTCTAACAAACGTACCAGAACTATTATAATCAAACGCATTGCCTCCTTCGAGTTATTCACCGACGAAAGCAGTATATACAACCTCAGTGATGCCATGGTTTTGAAAAGCTTCCCTTCTATACTTTAAATGGCATATTTGATTTTGCCAATAGTCAAAAGTTATTTAAAATGAAATATGGTAATGGTCAAAAGTAGGTCCTATCATCAAATACCCAAAAAAAGGATTGGTAGGGACTTAGGTAGCTGATATGTGGCTCATTACAAAAGGTTTTTTGTTTGTATTTGAGACAGAGACTAACTCTGTTGCCTCTGGCTAAATTACTGTGGCACACAGCTCTAAGCAACCTCAAACTCCTGGCTCAATCAATCCTCTTGCCTCAGCCTCTCAGGTAACTGAGACTAAACTGAGACTACAGGTGTACACCACCATGCCCAAGCTAGTTTTCCTATTTTTAGTAGAGATGGAGTCTTGCTCTTACTCAAGCAGGTCTTGAACTCCTGAGTTCAAGCAATCCACCCCCTGCTTGGCTTCCAAGAGTGCTGAGATTACAGGCATGAGCCACTATGTACTATGAAAGTTTTCAAACTGTTACGTCCATCATTTCAGTTGACAGTGTCCTTTCTGATTGGTGCAAGTTTCAACTTACTCGGCTTATCAATGTTGCTGGGAGGGTTTAATCTGTTTCCATCCACACAGTTTCTATTTCTTGGTCTTTATGTATCTCAAAACTTCTATTATGATCCACATATCCTGACTCAAAGGCAATTCCAAAGGAAAAATTCAAAGCTACTCTAAGAAGTAGTAAATATTGGGGGCGGAGCCAAGATGGCGAACTGCAGCCAGCTTTTTACAGAAGCTCCCGTCCAGAAGGAGGCTGAAAGGACAGAACCTTAGCAAATTAGCTGATGGTTTGGAGCAGAGACAAGAGAGAAGATTGAAGAGTGCACTTCAACCTTCCTGAGGCGAGCTGCGACCCT